GGAATACATTCAGATGTCCAGTGGAAAGTTAAAGATAAAATATCATTGTACTTATCGATAAAAGTGGGTATTAAAAAGGTAACAAATTTTTAAAGTAGTACATAAAGGGAAATACATAGTTAATCAAGGAAATTCTTATCATTGCAAAATATATGTCATCATTCAAACTGTGTTTGTATGCATAAATCCATTCATGATATCAATTTAAACTCAACAATCTCCTCAATCCTATACTGATAATGACTAGCTTCAAGATGGAGTTCCAAGAATTCTAGTAAGAAGCCATGACCAGTGGAGTTCAACTGTATCTTGTGTAAGGCAGTTACTAAGGATAATGGAAGATGGTTGCGCAATTTCATGAATTGGTTCAAGTTAGACATTAACACCATTGTATACCGGTTCAGTGGTCTAGAGATTAATCATTCTCATGCGAGACCTAAAGTCCTTGGTTTGAGTCCCTCTAATGCGGGATCGTGGGTGAGCAGTGTTGATGAGTTCGATGGTAGGAAGAAACGGCCGTCCAGTGTTTCCAGGTTTCCAATGGTAGTCTAACATTAATCCAGTTATGCACTGTATTTAAACATTTCTTTGGTTTATATTTGCTTTGGTAACAGATATTGTTGTTATAAGCTATTTCCCGTTAATACATTTCTTGAATGTTTAGAATCTGCTCTTTTTTCCTTCAAGAACTAACCTACATTTTCAATTCCATAAACAACAGTAAAGCATAAGTTACTATAAACCTGATTGATATAAATAAGGACGACGTTTTCCAATAAATATTTAAATCATTAAATTTATGAGTCGATATTAGTTAAACCACTATAGAAAACCTTGGAAACACTGAATAATCATTTCATCCTAGTACGAGACTCCTCAATAGTACACATACACGATTCTATTCATGAGATTGTCAATGAATTCAACTATTAGATTATTACAATCTCAACCCCCCCCTTATTTTTTCTCTGAAAATATTTAAATCTACGTCATTTATATTTAATAAATAAAAGTACAATAAATGATCACCTTTAATTGTTAGGTACTTATAATACTTGTCTTTTAGTATTTCAATTTTCTACCTTAGAAACTAAGAATAAACAGTCACATGACTTGGCATACTTTACAATTTTAATCGGATATTATATTTAGATTTCTTAGAATTGAAAAGTATGAATAGTGTAGTTGAATATAATTGAACACATTTATGAATTTTGTCCTTTTTAAAATGAGAAAGATACATTTTTGTAGGTATTGTTACCATGGTTTGAGTTGATAATTTTGAATAAATTGAGCATTAGATAGATTGTTTCATTGTATGTATGAAGAAGTAACTTAAATTGAGTGACGAAACGTCAGAAAATCTCATTTTACTACTCATTTGGATATTACAAGTATATACATTATGGGTGTCAACATTAACTTTTAATCTCTTTTGATATATTGTAGTGAATGAGAATACACAAGTAGAGACAATCGAATGTATTCGAATAGAAACATTACAGAATGTCTTAGTAAAATCTGTGAATTAGACAATAAATAGTTCATTCGTGAAATGTCAATCAATTGTCTCAGACTTGATTATTCCTTCATTTCTACACTAATCATTCTCTGTTCTCGTTCTCTTCTCTTCAATCTTCTTAATCTTTTGTCACCAGGTATTTCACTTTTGATTGATGATACATACTATTTATATTTGTCGATATCAGTAGCACACAACACATTTGCATTTTACAATATTATTATAAACTCATTCGTTTTGGTTGTTTGAATCTTTTCATTGACCTTGACAACTGAAATTGATCAGTCTCTTACAAGGTATATGTATCCTGTGCATATTGCCTTAAGTTACAAGCATTGTAAGCAGAGATCGATAATGGTTAGGAGTAGAATCCAAGAAGAGCATTTAGTTCTATTCGAGACTCGTCCAAGCATTGATATTAACTTTGAAATGCCGGTACACTCTGCTGATGAGCCCCAAACAGGACGAAACTTACATCATGAAATCCACTGCTAACCACCATTCATTTCTACTTATATTTATTACTAATACTGTATTGATTTGTTATGTAACCTTCTCTAAACCATTTGTTATTTCATCTTTTTTAAAATTATCTGTAATTTTCACTCAACTTATGTAAACTCTCTTCAAATCTTCCATGATTATTGCCTAATTCATCTTGTTGGTTTCATAACGATGTATATATACATAGATTACTGATAAACATTGTCATCTCAACTTTCTTCTAGAATTAGTCCATTATTATTAGATTATGTTATCATTTGACGTCAAGTCTCAATACAAATACAGTTGTAAGCAGATAAAGTGAAATCACAGAATGTTTAATGAATTCATGTTATTCTGCCTTGATTACCATTATAACTTAATTCAGAATAGGTGAATGCATGACTTGATTTCTTTGAAATTCATATTGTCAATATTGAATTTTGTCCAGTTCTGTTACTACCCTGGCACTGTTCTGATATATTATGGTTACTTAACCCAGTGTACATATGTCGCAGATTTTGAATTCCTTACGACTGCCTCTCTTGTTGATTGAATAAATGAGCTCCACTTTGAAACATGTATGAATTGTCATTCAGAACAATTTTATAAATCAATATTATTACTCGACCAATCAGTAGGTTTTGTATTACTGAACGAACTACCAACACAAGCTCCAGCTAATACCTTTCATTACATTATCAGAAAAAAATTTTTCTGGGTTGTTTCTTTCTCGCTCTACACAAAGCCTTTTATAATAGCGAATATAATTCCTTTAAATGAATCAACATTAGACTGGAAACACACATTGAAATATGATGAGGAAACGGGACATATCAATAATTCTGAAGCCACATTATTTGCTGATGCTTTCACTATAATCTCCAATCATCATCTTTGTGTAATAATGTTCATCAGATTTAATTGTAATGGAAGTGTACTATTACTAGCAGTGTTGTGAACGGGAACATGGGTGGGAACAACCAAAAGTATTTAAATACAGAATCTTTTAGTATAATCTGAGAACCATACAGTAAATTTCTCATTTGCAAAATGTCAATCAATTGTCTCAGACTTCATTGTTTGTTCGTTTTCCCATCAATCTGTTCTTGTTCTCTTTTCTTCACTTTTCTTAACCTTGTGCCGCCAGGTAAAACATTTTCGATTAATGATACATACTACTTATATCTGTCGACATCAGTAGCACATACGTCAATATTTCTTCTTATTTATATTTCCTCCTTTTTTGTGTGTATGTGTTTTTGGAAATGTGAAATGTCCTATCTTTTACTATTAGCTAGTCATAGTCAAAACTCCATGTTTAGCTATGTGAATTTAGTGATTATATATGAATATGCAGAAGAATAACCGTACATTATCATTTCTTAGTCGACAAACTTTTTTTAAGAAGTTTAAAACAAGCATGATTTTCATTCTATTTGTTAAACAAACTACATTAAATTGACTGACTAATGGACTAATTTAACTGGAGATACTGATGTCGACAGATATAAGTAGTATGTGTCATCAATCAAATGTGAAATGTCTGGTAGCAGAAGGTTAAGAAGATCAAAGAAAATAGAACAAGAGCAAAAGGAGGTTGGTGTGAAAACCAAAAAACAATTAAATCTAAGAGGAGCGACTGATATCTGTAAAGAGAACAGTCAAGTTTGAGATAGTTGATAGACACTATGCAAATTAGGTATTTACTGAATGGTTCTCAGATTTTACTAAGAGATTCAGTAATTTTGTATTCAAATACATTCGATTGTCCCCATTTATATTCTCATTTACTACAGTTTGACTTCATATATATTTCAAATAACAATCATTCAGTTAGCTGTTCGATTCCAACTAGACTTAATCCATTATTAACCGTTATTTCACGAGAAACGGCATTAGTTTACTTGGTATAAATGATATTTTGTAAACGATATCATGTTCATAAACCGGTGGGCATAGTTGAAAACTTAGGTGAAGTAACAAACCGACTACTAGTACTTATGGAAGTGTAGTGAGTAAATTTTTTGTATAGACTAATAAAAGCCAGGAGCAGCTAAATCAAAAGTGGTCCATGAAGTCATTAACTGTTTGATTTAGCAGTGTTGGAAGATGTAGATCAGCTAGTTCGGGTCCTATCAACTATTCTACCCAATAGTTGGATATTGTGGGTGATATGACTCAGAATAATTCAGAACGACGCTCAATGTATCTCGGCCCAATAGGAGTTTTATTAGTTTATTGGGTCTGAGTTCCACAAAGACTATTAGTTTTCACATGGTTGCAGGTAATTCTTGTTGACGAGAGCTAACTAGCACAAAACCCATGTTAACAAGGGCTTCTACAAAACACCTCCAATCGGATATTACAACAGTAGTCTATTTATATAATGTCAAAAGCTTTAACAAGTTGACATTTTTTGGCTTTATACCGCTTAAATATCGTTACCTTTTTCATCAATATTGTTTGGTCTTTTAATTTGTCAGTTCATTATTCAATGTCAATCTTCGTATTTTAAACACATATCAAAGTATATCGTTTATTTATTCCAATCAGTTTAAACAATCCATAGAAAATTGGACTGTATCATTCACGTCTGACTACTGTGTTGATGATATGATACAGTCGATTTTCCCGTTCGAGGTTAATTAGAATGATAAATTCCTTTAAGATTTTAAAATGATCAAATAAACATTTATGTATATATGGTGACTATAAAATATTGTCTATAATATGAACTTTTATAGTTGAATTCATGAGTCAACTAAAGCTAGACCACCATGCAAAACCTTGAAGCACCAGACGGCTGTTCCATCCTAGTATAGCACTCTTCAGCCGTGCGCATCCACGACTCCTCCCCCCGCGGGACTCGAATCTGGGACTTGCCGGTCTATACGCGCGAACCCTTATCCTTCAGACTACTAAGCTGGCATCCAACGATGATAATGTCTAACTTCAACCCCTCCCGATAATATAATATAAACAACATAGTCAATTGGTAAGTATTAAACCTGTTTAAAGTATTATATTTAATCATAATAATAGTAATAATAATAATAATGACTTCTTTTAAATAAGCAGATTAAAACAAAGTACGTTAAACAATGAACACTTATGCAAACAAATGAAAAGTCTTATAGCTAAACAGTAGTTTCATCAATTTAATAACACAATTCGAAATGAAATCCAAAAGAAGACAAAGATGTAAAATAAAATATAGAAGCCACAATACAGCATTGGATTGATCAATTTGACAGGTATACTATAATTATTTATATCTCTCTTGTTACTAACGCACAGTATGTATGACATATATTGCATAATCAATTTAATGTAATCGTAATCTTTATGTCATAGTTATTACAATTTGTAAACTATTGATGAAACATTCTCATTAAAAATGAAACAAATAAGTCATTATCATCATCATACGGTATTCTGTATATGGAAATGATACATAAATTAAACAAGAGAGAAAAAAGGTACGAATGGAACAATCTTTTCTCCTTCGAACAATAGGGATTATGAAATAGATGTAACGAGATAGAAATAAGGAAAACTCTATAAGCAAACAATAAACATGGTTCATAAATAAAATAATCATGTAATGAATTATCTCCAACACCATGAATATAAAGTATGAAAATGTGGAAATCTAGTAAAGTATGTATGTGTGTGAGTGTGTGTGTGCTTGTGTGCGTTTATGTGTGAGTGTGAAAAACTTCACGACAACTTTCTTGTGTGCCATATCAAAAGTCAATAGATTAAAAGGAAATGTATTCATGAATAATAATTTTCATTTTGTACGATAAGATTTGCACTCTGTCTGTTGAATGAGCAAAGAAAAATGTTATTTTTAATGAATAAGCGTATATTACTAAGTACACACACACACATACATACACATACGGACACATAGACATAGATACCTAGTTATTAGGCATTAGTACTACTTGGGATAGGTATTATATTTGGTTCATTTGTTGGTGTTAATTTCAATTGTGAATTCGTTGATGATGACCAGCCTAGATATTGTCTTTTTTGTGCTGCTTCACGTGTAGCTTGTACAGCTGCTTCATTAGCTTCACAGAGTTCTTTAATTACACTATCTAATTCACTTAAATATCGACGTGAATCATCTTTTGTCACTCGTATTTTATTATTAGAATTTAGTATAGGGTTATTGATGGGACTTTGTATAGATTCACTGTTGTTGTTGTTATTGTGGATGGTAGCATTATTATTGTTTACCTCTAAGGATCTACGGGGAATGGTCTTTTCAGCTCGGAATACTGAATCTACTTTAACTGGTAAAAAAATTGGTTTAACAATGTTGTTGTTCGTAGTTGATGAACATGTTGACAATGTGCAAGATGACGAAGAAGAAGGACTAGAAGTAACGTTTGTATGTTGTTGCTTTAATGTTGGATGAGGTCCAGATAGAAATAATGAAGCTGAACTAGATTTGGAGTTGGTAAAGTGGGAAAAGTTACTTGGAAGTTGTTGTTTCTGTTGTTGAGGATCAGGAATATCTGAAAACAAGTAACACAATATCATCACTTACAAATGAACTAAACAGATGAATAAAATGAAGCTATTATTGTACCGAATGCTACTCACAAGTTTGCTTGTAAGTAGTATTTAGAGGTACATCGCGTGGAATTTCCCACAGTCGACAGTTGAGAAGTGTTATAGGAAGTCAGAAGGCGCAGCGTATGCAGGATTTTGTAGAGACCGGAGGAGAAGACACTATTACCAGTAAGAAGTTTATTCATTCAGGTGAATTTGAGTTATTACTTTATTTTTATAGGACACCATTGGTTTAGAATCAGGGTTTTCCAACTTCTCCAGGTGAATCCTCCATACCCACCAACCCGGTTAAAGCGCCGACCATTCGCTTTTCGTCCTCTCAATTTCGTGAACAATACCCCCCCCGCCGCGAGAAGGCAGTGAGTAGGACTCCCCCGGCAGTGGTTGTATGTATGTACCAGGTCATCTGGGGTCTGTAAATAAGCATAGACTACGTAGGTGGGATATACGCGATTATATTTCGAGATATTGGCTCACGTAGGCCAGAATTAGTCATATATGCGTTCAGTTTTTGTCCTGAAATGCTTATCCAATTATCATTTCACTAATTCATTCTATCATCTTGAATCATACTGTCCATGTCTAAACCTCTCTATCATCATTGATAATGTTACTGCTTTTACTACACTCTGGGATTAATTGCCTTGATAATTTAATTTCACTGTGCTAATTTAATGTAGTAGCTAAGTAAATAATCATTTTTGTATTACATAACTTATTTTTTAGGTTTATACTGTGTCCAATGTTTATATTTGACTAGAAAATGTCTAATGTTATCAGTATTTCACATTGGATGTTACTTAACCAAAAAGATCAGTCAGTTCTTAACTTCGGTAATTTTACTCTTGATATTCTTAAAGAATATTCAGTAAAAGTTGAACAAAATGAGTATCAGAAGATGTTTTGTGGAAATTGTAGTAATTTCAGTAGTTGAAATCATTAATCAATTGAAACTATACCAGCATTCAAAACCTGGGAAACACTGAACGGTCGTTTCGTCCTATTGTGGGACCTCTCAGCGTTGAGCACCCACGACCCCGACAACCGGGATCCGAACACAGGATCTATCAGTCTCGAGCGTGAGCGCTTAACCATTAGACCGTTGAACCGGCCGGAATCCAACGGTGTTAATGTCTAACTTCAACTAATCCACAAAATTGGGCGACACATCCACCATTGTCATCAGTGAGTTACTATCTAGCAACTGACCTGGTTGAACTCCACTAGTCACTGCTTTTCTCTAGAACTCCAGGATATACATCATGAACATCTTCAACAAAATGATACTAAATACAAACAATCTATGAATATTGTGAATGTTTGCAATCAGAAAAGCAGATGTAAACATTAACTATATAATGTTTTATACAATTTCAAATAGTTAGTTTCATCATAATAACAAAACATGTATGAATGAATCACAGAATGTATACAATATCTGATAAAAGATAAAAGATATAGAAAAATGTCTATATTCATGAAATCAGATGGAAGCACCCTACTGAGTTGATATTTCTATTTATTAAGGTTAGTCACTAAGTGACATGTTATAAGGAAAAGGAAAGAAAACAATCAGACTTTTTCTGAAATTGGTAACACTTTTACAAACTAAAATCTTCACTGATATCTTTATATATATATATGTTTGAGACTATATTACCACCTACCCTTATATATAAACAAATCATTTTTCTCTATCGTCTATTATAAGAAAGCATAGAGTAGCATAGTTTATTAATGAAAAGAAAACTAAACATTCACTCTGGGATGTAGGTACATTTAGTAGATGAGTCTCAAATAGAACGAAACATGCGTTTTGAATTCCAGGGCCAGCTACATTCCATTTATTCTATGTAAACTTGTATCATAATGGTTATTTTAATCCTAACCGTATAGGATATTCAAAAGTCTAACTAAAACTAATCAAATTTCAGTTAAAAATATCAACAATGAGATAATTCAAACCATTTCAAATTGAATTAGTTATCTGTTGAGTTTGTAAATAATTGAGCTTTGAAAATTTGGTTATATAAAATTATATGAAAGTATTTTGATTGAGATCATGACTCGATGAATGCTAGACTACCATTGAAAACATGAAAGCACTGAATAACCATTTCATTCTAGTGTAGGACTCCTTCACGATCCCACACTGATATATGAAAGTAATTTGATTGAGATTGTAAGGTGATCGATGTTAGACCACCATTGAGAATCCAGAAGCACTAGACAGCCTTTTCATCCTGGTATTGGACGCCTCCAAAACCCCACATTGATATATGAATGTATATACGATTTTTGAAAAATAATTTTCTACATATTGTATATCACTCGAAGGTAATTTATAATCTAGGAATGAAAGACGCTGTAACGTTTAGGATCAAACAAGACTAGTTTGAAGCGATAAATACCTCATGCTATATATTGAAAATATATTAACGTTGAAACTATGGCCTACATTTTGATTCAATAGCTCAATAGGGGCATTGTACGCTCCTTGCAATTTCATTGTTGTGAAAAGTAAGCTATCACTATTGAAAATTTTTTTAAACTATTGGTTTCAAATCTTGCGAGGTGGGATCGTAAATGCACACTGCTTAGGAGTTCCACAATAGAACGAAACGGCCGTCCAGTGCTTCCAGGTTTTCCATGGTGGTCTAGCTTCATTTGACTCATGATCTCAACTGTTAATATTAAAAACTAATTGTTGATTATTCCATCCAGCCTGTGTTTTTCATGGGATTTTACTTGATAACTGTTTATAATGAAAATTACCTTTAAATTATATAAAATCTTTAAAAAGAAACCTTGGTAGATGATTCAGAGTATTCATATGAATCGTACAATCTTGCATATTTGATATTGTTGAAAGTACGTCAGGATAATCATCAGTGTATTGTAGCAGTAATTATTAGTAAAGAAACTAAAACTTTACTCAATGAGTGACACTTAGAACTGCATCTATGCAAAAGTCAAATCGTTGAGGCATAACTTTGATATTTAATATAGAAGTTCGTTGAGAATAAGTTTACATTCAATTTTAGGATTGGGTTTACGTAAATCGATAGTGCGAACAGAAGAAATAGTAGAAAGTGATCGAAATATTTCACCGTGAACATGGTAACCTCGATTGTTGCTAAAGGTATATGGTGCTTGTCATTATCTTGTTTGCCAACACTGTAGAAGAATGATTCTTACTGAAGTACTTATATAGGAAAATGGGTTTGGAATGGTTTTGACCATCATTGTGAGTGATCACAAAATCCTAAGAATAACTGCTTGGCCATTTTTATGGGTTAGTCCTACTTTGTTTTAGCCTTACCGTCAGTGATGGAAATTCATGGAGTAAGGTAAGATGAAGCACTTTTATGAAAAAGGTAGCATCACTAGAGATGTTATTTGTTTGAAGGAAACAAATTAATATCGCTACAATCGACTACAGTCAGCAGTACAATTCCGCCCCCCCCCCCCTGAACTTTAGCCTATGCGTTTAGTTTACCGCATCCAGTCAACCTGTTTGTAATAGTAGAACTAAAACGGAATAAATACTCTAACCAATATAGCTCGATTGGGTAATCACAATAGACAAATCGGATCAGCAATCCAAAGTAGTAGCTATGATCAGGTAAGCAAGTGATCATTATTATGGCTATTATGTTTACAGCTTAGTATAAAAACATTCAGTTGTGATAACTTGTTTGTACTATTAAGAATGTTCTTACTTCAATAACAAAAAAAAATAATTGGAACTTCCAAATGAGAGTTTAAACCCCATGTATAAGGCAAAAAATTATGTATTTTTGAAAAAAGAAGACTTTCTATTACAGTCCGCTATTTCATATGTATGGTTACCATTGACATCATAGTAATTAAAAAAATATTGTTTGCATGAATGACCCTTTTTTAATTTAAACAATGAATTCATCAATTGTTTCCCTGAATTCATTAAAATAAGCTTTATTACTCCATTACAAGGCTAAAAGTATAATTCGATTGGAACTTCCAATGTATAAACCTATTTTGTTCACTTGAAGCAATTTAATTAATCAACATATAGAAGCTATTGAATAACTTTGTATCATGAAAATCTAAAATGTAATCAGATTGGATTTATTATTATAATAGTGAATGTTTAGATAATAAGGTCAGTTATTTGAATAATTGACATTGAGATAAAAGTACAATTGAATACTAACTAACTTTAATAGTTGAATTCACGTGTCAGTTAAAGCTAATCTACCATAGAATACCTAGAAGTACTGGGTAGATGTTTTGTCCTAGTGTAAAAGTCCTCAATAGTGCGCATCCACGATCCCTCTCGCAAAATTTGAACATAGAACCTCTGGTCTTGCACGTAGCGCTCAACCTCTAGATGTTTTAGTGAGAAGTTGTAACTGATGGAATTCAGCTACATCGGGAGTGAGACAGATACTCAATAATGACAATGGATGAGAGTCCAGTAACAGAGAATTAGTTCAAGTTAGACATCTTAGAAATCAAATACTAACACAATGGTCTGAGTGTGTTCGTACATGTAGACTACCGAAGAGTTGCATACGAAGACGAAACAGCTGTCCACTGCTGCCATGATATAATCTATAATATTGAGTCATTAATTAAACAGTTACAGTCTTCTAAATTTAGGAGTTTGCCGTAAAAACCATAGTCCCTTTATTTCCGAAGGTCAAACATTCAAGCTCTAATATCCACAGTTGGATACTTCCACATACTCAATAAACTACTTATCTCAACTAATATGTATGTTGGAGTTGGTTAGAGCTAGACCATCATGAAATATCTAGAGTACTTGACGGCCGTTTCCTTCTACTACGGGATTCCTTAGCAGTGCGCGTTGATGATCCCACCTCGTGGGACTCGAACACATGACTTGATGGTCTCTCATGCGAACGCTTAAACTCTGTATCACTGAGCCGGTATCCAA